GCCGACTTTATGAATGACACTGTATATGTTTAGTTTCATTGGAAATGACCCTCCCCTACCACCCCACTTTGTTTGATCCATAACTTATGGGACACCCTGTAGATAATCTTCATTTCGACACATTCTGAAATACTGTCAGATATTAAGTTATGCAGAGAGAGTGTGTTTGAATCCAAAAAGTCAAGCCATCTGAGGTCAGCACAGTTTGTTAGATCTTGAAAAAAACTAAACCAATTCATATTTGCATATCGTTGAACTGGAGATAAGACGTGAACTTTTGGCACTCGACTGCATATTTCCAGAACATGCTTCCACAGCTATTTCACTGTCAGTCGATAAAGCAATTTCCTCAAAAGTGATGGGAAATTACTATCTCTGGATGCCATCACGTCTATGCTCAGTAGCTTTGAAACTCGATATATCGTAGAGGTCGACAGAAAGGCGGCATATTATAGTCTCACAAAAATAATCATCTATTCTGTTTCGATATGGCACTATTCAGATATATTCTGATCAATAAATGTACAATTTCCTGTGGTTCTCACACTAGAAAGTGAAGTATCTAGATGAGTCCGAAAAAATTCAAGGGATGATTTCTTGTGATATCCTAGCAAATGAAAATTATTTAAACATGTGTCCTAACTTGCTCCGTTTTTGAGATACAGGATGTTGAAGTTGTAAGTATCAATTCTTTTTATTTTTAACCCTCCTGTAAAAGCTTTCATGGTGCCAAAATTCAGTATGGTTGGAGACTGAGAAAGCACCAGAATTTCAAAATGATTGTAATTGGGGGTAATTGAGTAATCTCAATGGAAGTCTTGAGAACACCTACATTGAATTTGGAGTCAAATCGAATTTTTATTGTTTCCTCAAAAACTGAGCTAGATACAAAAATCACACAAAGGATAAGAAAGTTGTTATTTCAATAGTTCAATCTGATGATAACATGAAACTCAGAAAAACCGCTGGCGTACAATGACATTCACTATGAACATCGATGAATTTACCCACTGTGACGCCACTGGAAATATGATTTCGAATCTAATTGCACCAGAAGAAGCTCCATATTAATATCAACAGAATCACGTTTTATTGAAATTGATGAGAAGACAATTGAGTAATGAATAAAAAAACGATTTCTCAATGAAATATTAATACCCTGTATCTCGAAAACGAAGCAAGTTAGAACACATGTTCATATGAACTTTATTTCTTAACATATCACAAGGAATCACCCCACGAATTTTTTTGGTGTGATTCAGATACACCCTGCATAATCTTTGATACTGATTTCTTATAAACTGAATGAATCAATTTTCATCCTTACTCCATCAAGTAGGCCTTCCATGTATTCATAATTAGAATATTGGCGAGAACTCTAGCCATCGTGCTATCGCCAAAATATGTTTTCGCCATAATTTACGTTTCCGCCAAAATAGTCTTACGCCAAAACATGGAAATTGACGATTTTGCAAGGCAATGATGCTTGAATGCGTAATTTTTTCAAAGCAAATACTATAAGTACAATTGTTCGAATATGTACTCTATTCTTGTTGTTCATATGTTCTTTCGACTTTACTAAGAGAGAGTTAGCCTTGTTGTTTCATGTAAATACTGTTTTGGAGAATTTAAATACAGGGTGTTTCAAAAAAACCTAACCACCTTGCTAGGGTAGGTAGAACATTGCAAAATAAGTTGGGTTTGATCAGTAAAGAAATGTCGTAACGGCATCCGTTTTCAAGATACAAGGTGTTGAAAAAATTATTTTTTTACACATTTTTCACGATTATTCCGAAACTACTAGTAACATTGTGATGAAATTTTGTATGAATGTTTCTTGAAATCTGAAACATCGCATGAATTTGTTTTTATATCTGACTCTCATAGAGGGCGCTAGTTACACGGTTCGTACCGAGTAGTTTTGAACATAACTTTTTTGAGGTTAGATTTTCCAATCCAAATATGATATGAACTTGAACATCATTCGATTTTACACAAAAAAGGTGATACTGATGAAACTCGATACTATGTTCCGTTTTCGGAATATTTCGATTTGAAAATAATGGAGTAGAAAATCAAGAGATATTTCACTAGAAACATGAAATATTGAATCAGTTAGACAAAGTGTTCAGAATGTCCTACGTTTCGAGGAATACACGATTCTATATTCTTTTCTCAAGAATGTATTATTCTTCTGAACAGTTGAGATCAGCTGTTAGGTCATTTAAGTGTTGTTCAATTATGTCTCACAACTCTTGACGTGAATTTTCCTATGTAGCATAGACTTTCTGCTCAAGATACAACACAACTGTGTAATCCATGTTCCTAGTCAAACCTGTTTCGATGTTATTCTTGTGATTCATTGTTAAATCAATGGGTTTTGCATCAGAAATGTATTATTGTTTTCGGTTTTCAATAAATAGGTGATAATTTTTCATGATACTCACTCTAATACATAGCTTTATACCAGCAACAGTTACCACTTCATCATTTTCAAATCGAAATATTCAGAAAACGGAACACTTTATCGAGTTTTACCAAGAGTACCTTTTTGGTGTGAAATTGAATGATGTTCAAGTTCACATCAAATTTGGATTGATTAAATCTAACCTCAAAAAAGTTATGTTCAAAACTACTCGGTACGAACCGTGTTTTTGGCGCCCTCTATGAGAGTCAGATATAAAAACGAATGCATGCGATGTGTCAGATTCCAAGAAACATCCATACGAAATTTCATCACAATTTTGCCAGTAGTTTCAACATAATCGTAAAAAATGTGTAAACAAAATATTGTTTCAACACCTTGAATTTCGAAAACGGATGGCGTTACGACATTTATTTACTGAGCAAACCCAACTTATTTTGCAATGTTTTACCTACCCTAGCAAGGGGGTTAGGTTTTTTTGAAACACCCTGTATAAGTTCTCTTCTTACTCAAACAAAGCTAACAAATGGAGAACAATCATCAAGAAATCAAAATCACGTTACTTTTATTTTTTAATCAATTGCGGCGCACGAAAGGGAACCCTATTATGTTCGAAAACATCGTGCGTACCTAGGGAGAATAGAAAGAGAAGGTAGGTTTTGGAATTATTTTCGAAATTTTGGAGATTATGAGTTCTTGGAGATACTTCTACAGGCAATGAATTCCATAGCTCTGCTGTTCCTTGTGTTTGTAGGAAGTATTATTCGGGTGGAACAAGGAGACCCCTCTCAGTAGGACGAATGATAATGAAAAGACATCGAAAAATCTAAATAAGTTGAAAATATCCCTACTGACATTGAACAACATAATAATATAGCAGAGTGGAATGATGATGATTCAAATCATAGGAAAACTAGTATAACCTATTGGTTTCATTATTATGAAAAGTCAAAGAATTCGATTGCGTTCTTCTGAACGGAGACAATTCCATATAACCAAGAAGAGATGTACTCGAGTTTTGGCTATTCTCCAGATATTCCAAAAATTACAATATCAATCAACTGAAAAGAATTTTGTGAAGGCTTGGCTGAATGACCAAATCAGACGAGAATATATAAAGGAAGACGGGAAGTTATTGTAGTTATTATCATTTAAAATTCTCTGTGTATGAATAAACCACTCAATTTTCATTAGGAATGCACTGAAAATACGTCAGTCAGTTATCATTGGGCCAACAATGGATAAGCAATGAAAATGGGAGAACTGCTCCGCCAATTAATTGATTATTTAATCAGTTTGATACAACATTATTCAGGTCATCAGCCTGAGAGACTCGAACTTCACCAATATTGGCGATAAGTCGGCAAGCAGGCAACTTATGTGATTTATCATCGAAAAATATCGATATTGAGCTAATGATAGTTCACTGAGTGAGTGACATTGCTCTGGAAGTAATGGCCCATGTATCAATGTTATTATTAATTAACAAAATAGAAACGAACCGAACTAACATACTCATTTTCCGAATTTTTTATTAGAACATTCTCACAAATATCACAAAATATAGTTACATAGCTACTTATAAGATTTGAGTTTATAAAAAACAGGAACGAATTGTAAAAATGATCAACAACAATACAAAACAAATAAGAGAACTGAAAGTTAAGAACTGTTATAACAGAGGTATATATCATTTTTTAATTTATACATATCATTAGTATCTACACTGTGTGTAACCGGATCATGGTACACCAAACCAATTTGATGAACTTAATTTGGTGATAAATCAAGAAATTTCACATTTTTGACAGGATAATTTTATCTGTCGATATGAGTACATCAGATCATATCGGAATGATCATGACACTCTTAGATGGGAAATAGAAAATGAAATTAAAATCAACATTGGAGTTTCGAATGTAACTTTTGTGGTATCATTGGGTTCAGAAAATAATGCAGGATTAGGAAATGAAGTGATATACATGGTGTTCCATTTGAAAATCAGAAGTTATTATCAGTTCCGGCGGAACAGGAAGTGGAAAATGAAACCTAATAATGTAAAAACATGACTTTTATCAAGTTGATGGGTCATTCCAAATTTCAATCAGTTATCTCCCAAACTGAAGGATGGAAAGGGGGTGTACCATGATCCTGGTACACCCGGTATATGTAAATTTAATACTTATTCTGTAGAATTGATTTGAACAGAGCATGCCGAGATATCATGCAGTTTATAAGTGTATGTAATAAACTGAAGATATATAATAAGTTAGATAATTATAATGATGAATAAGTGTAAAGATATTTTTTGGTATGTTATGGAAAGTTCCAGTAGATCAGTAGATCAATATACAAATCAGGAGATCTGCCGAAAATTCAGTGAAGCGGACGAAAACTACTTGCTTTCGAAACTAGTCGGTTTTTCGTTCAGAAATTAGAACGTAAAATCAGATTTTTTGTAAAGGTCGACGAAAAAAGACTTGAATTTTGCCCATTTGAACATTTCTGTAATATAAATATCAACTGAGATAGCTATCGAGTAAAATATAACCAATCACCCTGTATAAACACTCACTATTTCCCTTTGACACAACTTCAAGTGCTCCTTGTCCAACTTTGTTTTGCCGGTGCCAGGCCCAGTCACAGCCGCCTTCGCCATCGTCACGTATTTCTGACAGCCCGTGGAGAGGTCTTCGAGCACCTGTCTGAGCTGCACCTCGATGTCGGTGTCGTCCGATTCGATGGCGGTGTTGATTTCGGAAAGGGCGTCCTCCTGGACAAGAAATATCATTCAACGAGCGCTTGATGGATATTAGTCAACAATATAAACAGTGCTGTGATGAACCTAGAATCTCAGGACATATAGATGAACATGGGATAGGGATGCAAGAGAAACTGTGTCGGCTTGCCAAGACTCTTCAGTTACACTAGGCCAACTAAAAATCGATTCACGAGGGATACCCCCAAATATGATACAAATGACAGGCCAGCGTAGGCTCGTGGTTAGATCAACAATGTTCTATCCACGTTGGATCACCGGTAGTGGGTTCGAGTCCCACCACGACCGCAGAAATTTTTCTGATGGCCTAAGAAAGTCATTCCTTGCTCGCACAAGTCTCTTGAAGACTTCTGAGGGTTGCTCGTAAGGGGGCAACCGAATGATGGATAAGAATAATTTTAGAACAATTTTTTTTTTGAAAAATAGAAGCCCAGAGGGGGCAGAAGAACGATCTAGCCTTCAGAAGCGCCTAGTGGCAACAATCATACTTTGCCCTAGTCAACACAAAGAGGTCTCGAAGATATCTCGACAACTTCCTTCCAGGAAATTGTGACGCTTTTAATAACTTCTGTGAGCGGTTGCCGAGAGCACTATTTTTGCTCTAAATGTCCGTCGCCGGGATATTCTCAACGAGGTTTAAACGATATCCCACGAAGGAATTGACAAAAAATACCTTCAGGCGAGTTCTTTGGGAAATGCGCATACAGAACCTTGTTCCAAGAACTTGATAGATTCGCATCAATTGCTACTGGTGCGATCTCCAAGTATTCGCAGAACCAAATTATTCGAGATATTCGCACAAATAGCCTTGTGGCGAGTACTTCAGGAGATTCGCATCAATTACTACTCACGAGGTCTGTGAGTGTTCGCAACTAGGAGTTATTCAAGATATTTCCACACATAGGCATGGGGTGAGAATTTCGGGAGATTTGCGTCAATTCACTCGCAACTTAAAGAACACCAAGGAATTCACGTGAACTGCTTCTGTCGAGGTCTCTGAGAGTTCTCATCACGAACTGTTCAAGTACTCTCATGAGTATCATTTTGCGAGTTCCTCGAAATATCCTTGTTTTTATTTGAGTTACCAAGGATTTTTGTGGTATTCATAGGCTACCAGCAGTCGGCATAGTGTAACTAGCGCCAGCTGTTTCGAATCCAGCTAAGAAGAATTTACCATTTTGTTCCAGCCATGGAACTCCGCGAGTTGAAGCTCACGGGCTCTAGCGCTTATGAAATGGAAGCATAGAGCATAGTAGATAGGTATTTGATGGGGATTGATCAACTATGCAAGGTCAGGTATCAAAACAGATTATTTACTTTCAGAAACAATTCATAAATAGAAAGTTATGACTGAAATGTTCCTGCACTGTTACTGTTCATTGAATAATTCACCTCAAACTGTTTAATTCACAGTTCTTCACCCTGTATTTTATTTTTACATCATTATCATCTTGAAGATTGACTATGTTGAACAGGTAGATCATTTTTTTTAGGAAAAGTGAGGGATAGGTCTCTTAGAATTATTGAAGTCATAATCCTCTCTTATAAGTACATATGGATGAGAGGAAGTTACACAGCAATGAGGTTCATCAGGCCGATAGGTAACGTTTTTACGCGATATCTCGTTGACTATACCGAAATATATTTTTCTCTTCCAACTTCTTACATATGATTATGGAAAGGATCATATACGAGGTGAGTCAATAGTGTGTTCTCCTTTGATATTTGCCAAACCGTCAGATATATGGAAAAAAATCGAATACAACAGTTATATAGTTTCATGAGAACTATCACATAAAATTGTTTTCATATATATAGGGTGTTCGAATTCCAAGGTATCGGCAGATGATGGGTTTTTCAAATGGGACACCCTGTATATTATCGCATTTTCAGGTTCTGCCTGGAGAGCCGATTCCATCAATGCATTACACTCGGAGTTTAGCAGGAATGATTACAGAGATGTAGGGTGTTCAAAAACAAAAAATTTCAATTTCAGATTTTTTTTGTATCGAACCTATTATTTTCGGTCAGGACGGCTCACATGTCCCTATCTTAACTTTTGATCCACTATCTACTGACATTAAATTGGAAAATAATACAGGGTGGTTCAAGATTCAGAATTCTGATAACCCTGTATCTGTAATGATGGTGGAAGTCTTTTTCGAGATTTTAGAATCATGTCGTATGTTGATATTTTGCTATTGCTTATTATCAGATTACGTTCGGGTCAACTGTACGAACTCGCAGTGAGAATATCTCGTTTACGTTACGTGACAGCTTCAGAAACTCGCAACAAGAATTTCTTGTTCAGGTTACGTTCCAGCTAGCTTAAGGAACTCGCAGTAAGAATTTCTGATTCAGGTTAATATCGTAATAACTTTGGGAATTCGTTGTGGAAATGAAATCGATAACTAAAAGGTGGGGTTTGAAAGATCTCTACATGGGACTTCAAGAAGAAATTCGCTTAGTAACAACACATAGCGATCTTTACTACCTCACGATAGAAGTTCGCATATGATCTCGATGTTGATCTCTCTGAGATCTCGCGGAGAGGTTTTTGTTACCTGGGGCGAGTATAGCTTTGTTTCTTGCTGGGCGATTTTGGCTTCGGCAATGCTATAGCGATGAAACTTGTGATGTCATCATTGGTTAATGGCAGCTAACCAATTCGAATTAACCAATAATATCATAATAACGTTTTATCGTTAGCATCGCCGATGCCAAAATCGTCAAACAGAAAACGAAGCTCAAGTCTTGCATAGACCCCTACGTCTATGCTTACAGAAAGACACCAGGTCACAATTCTGTAGACTATCTCAGAGGTTTAATGTTTCACTAACAGATTGTGATGAACCTAAAATCTTAAGACTAGTCTTGTTTGTTCAGATTTCTCTCGAAAATATACTTTATAGCAAGGAGGTCCATTTAGGCCGAGTTAGGTTAGATTGTCTTGAAAAAGTAGCCCCCTTGTCTCTCAAATAATATTGGACAATTATACTTTTCAGGAAGGTTCGTTCAGTCCGAGCTAGGTTAGATTATTTAGGTGGTAAAGTGATCTCTTTTGTTCTCTCGAGTAATTTTTTCGAGAAATATACTTTCTAGGAAGAAGGTTCATTTAAGCCGAGTAGGGTTAGGTAGTCTCCTGTCTCAAGCAGAAAGGCTGTTTTCTTCCTTATATTACATTACACGTCTTCGAAATTCAAAGAGCCGCTGATGGCTTGCGTTGCGTCGCGTCTCCGCTGTCTACACCGTTTCGGATTTTCTCGTCCCTGAACACTGAAAGACGGCGAAACATCTAACATCCTACACAACCTTGGATCGAACTAACAAGGGGGTCGAAGATAATTACAAGGTAACAAATCAATTCAGGTTTGGTTACATCATTCTGCACTAACAATAATATAGCATCACATATCAAATCATACCATGCCTTTAAGGGGTATGCACTTATATTTCGAAGGACTTCCATACTTTCCTAACCGATTGTCAACTTACCGAAAGTATATTCTCACAATATCATATCAATTTTCCTTCAAGACAATATCCGCTTCATGCATAACACAATTCACAACCCAAGTGCTATACTTTGGCCGAGGTTAAAGTGTTCACTGATGTTATGACAAGAGCATCTGCTACACTCTCCTAGCCAAAGGTTCCTAACCGTAAACTTATAATGAGATACACCTCAAACTTATTCACCTCAAAACTTAAATCAGTTTAACCACTCTCACTCTAATATATCAAGGTATCAATTGAAGAAAAAATAATTGAAAACATAATCTTTCAGGCGGAGGTATTCGCAATTGAATTGTGTGCTAGTAAACAAAAATATCAGTATTGTATCAGACAGTCAGGCTGCTCTTAAAGCACTGAGCTCCAGCAAGATAAATTCCAAGCTTGTATGGAGCTGTATTGAATCCATAGAATGCCTGGGTGCTAGCAACAGAGTCACTTTGCTGTGGGTGCCTGGACACCAGGGGGTGGGGGGTAACGAGAAAGCCGACATCCTCGCCAAACAGGGAACCGAATCTGTGTTCATAGGACCACAACCATATTTTGGAGTCACCGCAAGTGCGGCGAAAAAACTATCCCGGGCTGGGCGGAGGGGAAGACACTCACGTACTGGTCTGGATCACCAGGATTAATCCATTCGAAGGCGTTCCTGCCTAAACCATCGGAAAAAATAACCAGGCAGATCCTAGAATGGAGCAGGGGTAACCTGCGAATTCTGACGGGACTGCTTACGGGACACTGTCGTCTAAGATAGCACCTGGGAAGGATGGGTCTGAACCAACAAACGGACTGTCGGTTCTGTTGTGTGGAAGACGAAACGGCTGAACACATATTATGTTCATGCTCTAGCTTAGAAAGACTAAGGTTCGACACATTTGGCTTTACCAATTTAGAACCTATCGATTTCAGACAAATCTCACCCAATTCAACCATGAACTTTGTAAAAAGATGTGGATTGTACGGTGAATTGTAACCTCTAGGGGTGAGCCACAATAGACCCATCTGGGTCGCAGTGGAGGGGAGGTATTCGCCCCACTCACATGGGACCTAACCGAACCTAACCTCTTCTGTGTTATCAAAAGAAATAGACTCGTTGATACATGGAATTTACGAAAATGAGACAAAATCGTACTTCTACCCAATCTTCTGCATACCTATAGTTAAACCAATCAAAGAAACATACTATACTTCTTATTGAAAATACAAGATATGTTTTCTCAATATCCTCTACTGAATGAAACCTTAATTATAGGCGAGTAGGTCTTCAGAATTGATCACCGCTATTGGAAATATGTTATTCCACGAAAACTGAATTTCTCAGTTTTGATGTTCAATTGATGAGAAATCACAATATTTATATTGATGGAAAACAAGAAAACAAACTAACTATATCGTTGATTTGTATTTTAAATTTGATCACCCTGTATCCAGAGAACTAGATTCAGTGGACGCTTGCGTTTCCTTTCATCAATCAGCTATGCAAGGATAGTGAATTATTCACAACTAATATCAGCATTGGTTTGGTGCGATCAAGGTGTAACCTCCACTAGGACCTTTGTGGAATGTGACATATAACAACAATGCGATGATATCATATGTATTACCTGTATAATATATCAAGTCAATATGTATATGATCTTAAGATCTCTGATGAAAGATATAAATTTTATTATAGACAAATCGCTTATCGCTGAGATTTTACATCATCAACAGTGACTTCGAGTATTCGACAAAGGTTCATTAAATAATCTGTCAGGCACATTCATTATTGAATGTAATTCTTGCGCCTTGTGACTTTCACGAATTTTAAATACTTAAATTGATGAAGTTCCGTTCCATTCTTCCTTCCTTTTCGAATGGTATATCCATTGGGATAATAAAGTAGATTAGAAGCAACGAAATTGCGCAACGACGCTGTGCTAATCGTGACGCTGTGGTTCAAAGAATACTCCGTTGTAATAAAAATGCATGTTTCATCCTTCATTTTCGGCATTCTTGAATAAAATTAGCCTAAATTCAGAAATCTGACACATATTATCAATTTTTTGATCGAAGTTGATTTTATGGTTTTGTCATAATAGTTTTTCGTTTCCTCGTTCATTGAGTAGCCTATTACATTAGTTTTTTGTCCAAAAGGACCCCACACAAAACCATAGGGAATTGGCCCACAGTGGGATTTGCCTGAAATTCACATATGTTATTGGTATGGAGTTTCTGATCAAATGTTTTCATGTGACCAATCCTCTAAGACCAAAGATCTAGCTCTTAGGGCCGTATTCAGTGTAGGTGCCAAATAAACAATGCCACTTTTTTTTCAAGGCCATGATTTTTGTATCTCCCATTATAATTCAATTGAATGAGAAATGTTGCGAAATCTTAGCATCTGTCTTTTAGCACAAGTCTTCTGTGAAACATGCCTTGTCCCACAGGACCGTATTTAGTAAAACTGTATTTGCCAAAGTGCCGAATCGAATTGATAAGTAAATGACCGATTTCAACAATCGAAACGTGTTCTTATCTTTTTCTGTTACTATCATTCCTAACGAGCTACGAGATATGTCCTACATAAAGATTGAATGTTAGGCCGACCATCTTGAATATCAAGATGGTGACCACTTTTGTTATGTACACAAAGAAATCTACATTCATCTATCAAACGACCACTGAAATAGGACAAGAAATAAGAAAGTAATAACAAAATCAATTCGATTCGGCACGTTGGCAAATACAGTTTTACTAAATACGGTCCTGTAGAACAAGGCATGTTTTACAGAGGACTTGTGCTTAATGACGAATGCTAAGATTTCGCAACATTTCTTATTCAATTGAATTATAATGGGAGATACAAAAATCATGGGCTTGAAAAAAAGTGTCATTGTTTATTTGGCACCTATACTAAATACGGCCCTGAGAGCTAAATCTTTGGTCTTAGAGGATTGGTCACATGAAAACATTTGATCAGAAACTCCATACCAATGACATATGTGAATTTCAGGCAAATCCAACTGTGGGCCAATTCTCTTTGGTTTTGTGCGGAGTCCTTTGCGCAATGAAATATGGAAACCTACTTCTTCGTCAAGGTTACCAAAGTCACAATCCGATCAAAGTGACACAGAACGTGATGAAACTCAATTTCTGAATCATTGATCCAATTGTTATGTTTAAGACGGAAGAAGAGATTATGCCATATATATCTATTTAATCCTGATATATTCAAATTGTGACAATGGATAATAGTATATTTCATTACGAGTCTGGAAATAGTTATTTGTTTAACTAGGCAGCATAGTAGTAGATTGACTGCCAAGGCTGAATCCAGCTGAGGCTGCCGAGTTGAACAAATTTTTCTCCGATTTTTCATAATAACTAATATCTCTTTATTTTTCCTGTAGTGTTCAATTAAAATAAAATTTGATAGAAATCGCAGTTGTTGGAATGGTTGGTTGCTATGGAAATGTCCATAATAATTATAGTTTGAGAATTCATGGAATTTCTGACAGTTGTGCGAAAAAATATCTGCATATTTAAATTATTGAATAATGGACAGTGATAGTGACCTGGAAATACTTACAACTTCAGAAATAAGGGAGGTGGCAAAACATATAGAGTTGAATTTGTTGCCGTCTCGGATGAAATATGAAGGAAATTATAAACGATTTATGGATTATCAATCAGCAAAGTAACCATTTTGCTGCCTAGGCAGGAAAAGTAATACTTTGCTGATTGATATGTGTCAGCAAAATCAATATTTGCTGCCAATCGGAGAAAAAATCATTTGTGGACGTGTAATGAACGATATTTTTTATTAGGTACACTTCGTTGATAATGAAAATACAGGGTGAGTCATGAGGAACTGTACATACTCCGACATCAACGATGTGCTTTTTATTCGTGCACAGACGATAAATGTAATACTCACGTATACTGAATATGAAGTAAAAAAATTAATAAATCTCGTCTGATTCCAATTTTGAACCCCAAAATGAGCAAAAATAATATTTTGAGCACATAATATGAATAGTTAAAATCGTCTGTGCACGAATAAAAAGCACATCGTTGAATAGAAATTCTGATGTACTTTTCAGATATGGCATAAAAATGAGAAATTCGAATGTATAGGGTGTTGTTTTCTGGCAGAAAGAATTTGTGAATTTTAAGTGAAGCCGGACCTGGATTTTATCTTTTGTTGTTGCCTCAATCAATTCGACAGGATAGATTGAGCAAGTGTACTAATTTCTGAAAATATATAGAGGTTGGTTGGAAAGTTATGAGACAATGAAGATATGGACAAAATTGATGAAACATCCTGTATCTCGGTAATAAGAAGTCGAAGACCCATCAACCATGGGTTTTTGGAAATCACCCCAGTGACCCTTATCCACAGTTGAATTATTTATCTTTCCCAATGAAACACCCTGTATACGTTTTTCTCAGATCTGGTTGTCTAGTATGTATCGGATTCAGAAACTGATTCGAAATTGCATAAATAACGAATGGTACCTACTCTCAAAGTATCATCCGTTTCTCAAATGTCTCGAACTTCATTGCATTGAGTTATTACTTACGAATTTTTCTACCAGTTTGGCTATTATATTGGAATTATACATCCTCCGTCGATAGTCAGCCCATACAGATCTGATGTGCATACAGGGCTTGTTGTCCCAATAGGGCAAAAAGTAGTAGTTCTTATCGTGGGTCATGGGCTTGGCAGGTGGTGTGGTGCTCAGCCAAGAAGCGCTGTCGGAGCAAACCGTCTCTGTAATGGACAGAAAAATACAGATCAGGAGATTTACTTGATGGTCCTGGAGCCAACAACAAATATGGTTACAACTTCTTACAAATAGTCCATCACAAAATAATCAATGTCAATGCGAATACAGAAAAACAGTGGTATGTCTATTCTCGATTTATCACAAAATCCACTACACTAGATCACAATCGATAAAATTCTTGGGAGTTTATCTCGATCCATCCGTCACATGGGCCACACATATTGTAAAAATCTGTAGTGAATTAGCAAGATATGAGCTATGGGTTGCTAGGCTGGGGTAATTCGGGCTTCACACACTTACAAAGAGTGTTTACACTACAAAAAGCGGCTATACGAAGCATTGCAAAGGTTAATTATACTGAACATTGCCAACCAATTCTCAAAACTTAGGCATTATGACCTGAAACTCACAAATCGTCTATGAAAATCTCATACATGTTACACAAAATTATATACAATTGTCACACACTCAGGCATTCATGATCATAATGCCAGATATAAGCATAACGTAGTACCTCCTAGAAGGAGATTAGAAAAGAGCAAATGCATAGGAATATCTCTTTTCAATTTTCTTTCCACAGATAACGTATAGATCTTTGGGATTCATTATTAGAGTATCAAAAAATTTTGGAAGAAATGAGAAAATGCTTCTGCAATTATATTTCACATTTGTTAGATCGAATTCAGAGTATGCATCAATAGTTTGGGCACCTCATTATCAGGTACATATATCTAATTTGGAAAATATCCAACGAAAATTTTTGAAGTACTTATGTTTTAAACTTGATGGCAACTACCCAGATGTAGGTCATCCACATGATCAACTTCTTTCAAGATTTTCAGTTGATTCACTTCTAGATCGTCGAAATAGGTCGCATGTTATATTCCTTTTCAGTGTTATCCGGAACAATTTGGATTGCAGCTGCATTTTGGAGATGATACACTTTCATGTTCCCAGACTCACAACCCGGAGAAATAATAGTTTCTACCTTCCACTTTGTCGCACTAATGTTAAATTCCATGCACCTGTTTACAAGATGTGCTCGATATATAATACGATGAATGAAACCATTGACATCTTTTGCTGCAGTTTGGCATCCTTAAAAAAACTGGACTGTTCTGTTTTTTCCAATGCGTAATTTTATGTATTAAGAAAATAATTTTAGTAATACACTTATTATATTCCTATTCTGTGATTGGATCTTGTATCTGTTGAATAGTGTAATAAATAAAAAAAAAATATCAGAGACTTGCTGTTGGATCGTTTTAAAAAAACGTTGGGAAAGATTCTTGTTGGAATGAGTCTTTACCAAATCAACCATTTCACTGAGTTGATCAATGACTCTTGTAGACAACTAGTGCTATTTTGATTTCAATTTTAATTGATTTTATCACAATAGTGCAAATCTGTTTTTGAGTTTGAGGTTATGGAGTGTAATGAACTACCTGTGTGGACACGACCGAAACAGGAACCATAAAGCCCTAGCACTAAAATGAAAGGGCCTATCGCAATACGTCTTGACGATTCTGAATGTTGATATAATTCTAGCTTTCAGTCGAGAGTCCATATAATTCAAGTCACCTGGTTGGTGATCCCACACTTTCAGCTCCCTTGGTGAGTTTGATACACCGTAGGAAAAAAGGAACATTCGACGTGCTTCCACTTTTCTATAGTTATACTCTCATGGAAATAATGTTCGTCAGGAATATTAAATTTCGTTTTTGGAATATAAGTTTTCTAACGAAATTTCAGACATCTGACGATTAGAAAATCAGTTGAAGTTCGAAAAAATTCGAAGTTTGAATTTCGAAAAATCTCAACGCCAAATACGATGATATCTCGATGACATGTTGGACGTAACCATAGCAACAGTGGAAAGTTGATGTTCGATGTGCAGCAGAGTTGAAATTATTCATTCCAACACACATGAGCAGGGTCACATTTTTTCCAAAACAATTTGACGTTGAGGAATATTCAGTTCCTGAAATAGTCTAAGAAAAATTATATTCCCAACTATCCCCAGGTACGCACAATATTCCCCGAATATAATAAGGATCCCCTTTTATGTGATTCAGGACTCAAATGGATGTGTACACAATTGTAGCGATTTATCATGAATAGCAGATGATCGGTTTCTCGATTTTCAATTATTTTCCAACGGTTTGACATGCACATTATTGATGTCGCCTCATGAATACAAATTAGCATTGATATTAACTTTCCAAAAATGCACCGAACTCAATATTTCACTTGCTCGACAGGAAACTATATTGGTATATTCAATTTCAGTGCAGTGGGAGAGTCGAGCACAAAAAATGTAGGGACATAAAACGATGTATTTTAATGTCAAGGAATATTCTCCATACATGACCCACATTACCATTCTGAAGTATCGATTAGTGTGGAATAACACACTCAAATTAAAAGTTTCATATTCCATAAATGTGAAACATGTAAATTTAACTAATCTGAACACAAAGTTCTGCTAACTGGGAATTCCCTCAAGAAATTTGAAACCGGATTTTCTCTTTGGAGTCGAAATTGAATTGCTATGTCGATCGTCGAGAGATGAAAATAATTCAGAAAAAAAAAGGAGCGATAATAGTTTAGCTTCTCCAACGAGCACCATTGACCTATTTTCGCCTTCGCTCCACTGGATTAGTTGAGATTAGTGTCGCCATGTGTTACTAAAACTACTAATAAGGATCTCTTGGATCCCTGTGTGAGAGAGAAGAGGGATTTCCTTAGAACAAAATTGGATCAAAATAAAGTATGGTTAACGATCTTGAAGTCTCGTTTCGTATTTGTCTGGACGATTTCTTGACTACGTTGAATTTTCGAATTTCTGTTAACTGAAGAGAGGTATACCAATGAGTTTGGATACATCAAAAATATTTGGATTATAAATGTCTATAAGACATACAGGGTGTTATTTAAGTACGTGGTCAAACTTGAAGGGGTGATTCTTTAAGTGATTCTAAGACGAAAAGTTCATATAAACATAGGTCCGGTAATGCTTCGTTTTCAAGATACAGGGTGTCAAAATTTTTAAAAGAAATAGTTTTTTTCGTAAATATCCTAATAACCCTTCAACCGATTTCATTGAAATTTGACAGTGTTATTCAAGGTCGTAAAGGGCTAATTTAACCCTGACTATATCAAAATTATCATGTCCAGTGGCGTCCCGGAAGGCACTGTAACCAATATTTTTGACAGAAAAAATGTGCGCCACTGATTTTTTTGCAATTTTTGTATTTGTTTCACATTGAGCAACTAAAATTACAGCTTTTTTATATCTAGAATTTTTTTCGTATCTTGCTTTGTTTTTGAGAAAAAACATAAAACTCACTTCATTGCACATCCCTGTGACAACACAATAAAACATTTCAACTACTAAACCATCCAAAACTGGGGTCTTACTAATATTTTTTCATATTAATACTCTATTCTAGTCTTGGGATTTTATATCAAAATTAATGCAATGAAAAAACAAAAAATATGTATGTATGAATTGCAGCACTTGCCTTCGGCTCTTGGCTTCGGCTCGTCACAGGGATGTGCAATGAAGTGATTCTATTGTTTTTTCTCAAAAACAAAGCAAGATACGAAAAAAATTCTAGATATAAAAAAGTTGTAATTTTAGTTGCTCAATGTGATACAAATACGAAAATTGCAAAAAAATCAGTGGCGCACATTTTTTCTGTCAAAAATATTGGTTACAGTGCCTTCCGGGACGCCACTTGTACTTTTTCTACTTCGAAAACTCTACTTAGAAGAGAAAAAATGTATGTATCACCAAAGGCGCGTTAAAAGCGGTAAATGAAGTCTATAATCATCTATAATCATACCTAGATGCAAACCGGTGAGGTTTCGATTAACTTCTACTTCAAAGATCGAGCCCCTAAACAGCTTACCTAACTTCTTGAGAGTTGGTGATGATGGCCTGGTAGCTGGATGCCGGTAATGAATCTATGGGGGCCCCCTTCTGGACTAGGTTGGTGTCGTGGATTAATCCAATTCCGGAGGCACTCACAAATGAGCGAAAACTTCCTATATGCGCAACCCGTTTATTTTCTCCATCAAACAAAGAGAATAGAAAATTCGTCGCGAAAATCACTCTCGACGTATCGTAAACAATTTCGAGCGGAGTTCTAGCGAGACTGCTTGTGTCCAGTTCTTCGTGGGTCCTGCTTTGCTCGGCGAGGTTTTTCAGAACTCGATAAAAAACGTTAATGTTTATCACTCATTTCGAGCTGTTTAGGGCAATACCAGAAAAACGCGTTTATTTTGAATAAAATGGAACGGTATTGCATCTCGGATGATTCAAGGTTGAGGAAATCCCTCTATCTTGACGAAAATAGAAGTTCCCTAATTAATTAATTAATTATTTTAAGTGAAAACTTAACATACTCCCCCCCCGGGGAAAGCGATGGATTAATCGCGTTTCAATAAAGGCTATGAATAGGAAAGAAAAAATAAAAAAAAAAAATCAATCATCTGAAGTCTTTGCGGGCGATAAAAAATAAAAAAAAAATAAATATAGAATGGTATGTACTTATTAGGCTATGGGAAGCGGACATAACTTGATGAGAGGGCGTCGGAACTCCCCACTCTTCGTCCTCACGGTAGCAACTCTAGCCACCCCATCTGCACCAGGATGCAGTTGAGTAATGCGGCCTAGAACCCATTGAAAGGGTGGAGCGTTGTCATTTTTAATGATGACTAAGATTCCTGGAGATACAGGAATATCCGAATGAAACCATTTTGCGCGTTGTTGGAGGGTGTGCAGGTATTCCAATCGCCACCGACGCCAAAAATCATGATGCAAGCGTTGAAGCAATTGCCAACGCGAAAGCCGATTCAACGGCGCGCCCGTTAAATCCGGATCAGGAATAGAACCAAGCGGCTCTAACGTTAGAAAGTGGCCTGGCGTTAGGGCGGATACATCATTGGGGTCTGAACTGGCTGAAGTCAATGGCCTAGA